GCTGCTCTAGAGCTTCCAACGTGGTCAAGGCATTCTGTGTTTTCCATTGTATTCATTTCAAGGCCCAGTGAGAGACCAAAGGAAGGGGAGGGAGGGAAGTGTCTTCACCCACTGATCTACAGCAACAGGCTGAGTCCGGTCAGAGTCGGCGTCCAGGGACTTCACCTTGCTGTCCCACATGGGTGACAGGACCAAAATGCGTGAGCCTTCCCAGGTGCCCATCACTAGAAGGCTGTGTGAAAAAACTGGTGGGACATGGGATGCAGGTGCCCCACAGTGCCCCACACCACAATGCTGATATTGCTCATACATACATACACATGCCCATTTTACTTTTTTCTATCACATGCATCTCCCGCAGCCCCTAATTTTGTATTGAGTAGGTCCAAATAATGTTTGCACTTGATGTGCACTGTGTTGTTTCTAAACCTGTTGCTGAAGAACCCTTTCTTATGTCACTAACTTCAATCTGGGCCAGCAAACGAATGAACGGTCATCTCCCAGTGCTGCTGATAGTTATTCGTCCTTGTATTTTTTGTCAATGTTTAATTGTAGCCATGAGATATTTTGCTTAGTCATTAAGATGATAACTAGCTAAGACACTCACATTGGGGTACTCGGGTTGATATCGGCTGTGATTCTTGACTTCAGCTTCCCATCAATACAGACCCTGAGGGGAAAAGGATTGTGACTCGGGGACTGGTTTCCTACTTCCCACACAGCAAGCTAGAGGTGGGGTTCCCAGCTCCGGAATGGCACAGTGCCAGTCACTGCACACACTGGAGGCTCTCTGTGCGTCTCTAAAGTACTTCACGAATGAATTATCTACAAAATAAATTCTTGAATTTTCCAGAATGCTCGTATTTTCAAAGAACTTTCAATTCTTGGGACATTGAGTCATAAGAATTGGGGGAATCTTTTAACGTAATGAGAGTAGCAGTCAGGGTTCTTTTTCATGACTGTCACAAGAATATTAAATGCAGTAATTCAGAAGCTTGAAGGAATTACATTTTGATTAATAGTTTCATCAAAATGTTGAGCTCCAATACCTGCAGACTGTGTGTTCGATGAGAACATCCGGAAGCATGTCTGGAAGCTAAGCTGACTTATTGCGAACCCAAGGGCCAGCCTCACCAGCAAGCGTTCACTCTGAGACGAGCAAAGCTGCCACTGAGATCCTTCTCCAGGCTGCAGACTAATGGCACCTAGGCCTTTTCCTGCAGTGTTCAGAAACACAGTGAGCTCCCAGCTCATCCTCTTCAGAGCCTGGGAGCCCCAGGGCAGGACCACGGCGGACGGCCAGAACCTGCAATCATGTGAAACATTAATGATTTCTCACTTGAAGAGCGGCTGGAATAGGAAGAAATCACTCAACATTAAGAAGCATACTCAAGTGTGTTTAAAAGAAAAATGAAGCAATGAATTACATGAGTCTCTTTAAGAAGTATTGAGCTGTAGTGCAGGCTTACAATCTCCAATCAAAATCTCCGGCCACAAAGGAAGAGCCTATGTGCCATTCATCACAGCGCTCATACGAAAAATCCATCCTTGGGCTGGCGCTGTGGCCCAGCAGCTTAAGGAGCTGCCTATGATAGCAACATCCCATATGCAATCCAGCCTGAGCCCTGCCCATGCCACTCCTAGTCCAGCTTCCTCCTAAAGCTCGTGGAAAGGCAGAAGAAGATGGCCAAAATCCAGGACTCCTGCATTCCTTTGGGAGACTCGGTGCAATCCTGGGCTCCGGGCCTCAGCCTCCCTCAGCCGTGGCCTTCGCAGTACTTTGAGGAGTGAACCAGTGCATGCAATATTCTTTACTCTTTGTCTCACCCCCTCTCTGACCCTACCTTTCTAATAATAATAATAATAATAATAATAAATTGTTTTCTAAATTCCAATGGATGGCATATTTTAGATCAAAGTTTTTATTTATGTTACAGTGCACATGTTTCCAGAAACTTCTTGTGACACCATTTTATTAAAGTCATCTCTGTTATGCAAAAAGGAATACGTGGAATCTAACCCTCCCGTTCCTTGGATTCTGCCGAAATGCCTGCGCTATTATTTATATCTTACAGAAACAGGGCAGTGAGAGACAGAGTACAGCTCTATGTCACAGCCCAGTGAGAAGAGTAAGATCAGAAATCTCGTTTTTTTTTTAAGATTTATTTATTTTTATTGCAAAGTCAGATATACAAAGAAGAGGAGAGACAGAGAAGATGATCTTTCGCCAGTTGATTCACTCTCCAAAAGACCACAAAAGCCAGAGTGGTGCTGATCTGAAGCCAGGAGCCAGGACCTTCCTCCAGGTCTCCCACATGAGAGCAGGGACCCAAGGTTTTGGCTGTACTCGACTGCTTTCCCTGGGCACAAGCAGGGCACTAGATGGGAATTGGAGCTGCCGGGATTAGAAGCGGCACCATAAGGAATCCTGGCACATTCAAGGCGAGGACTTTATCTGCTAGGCCATGCTGCCGGGAGCACCAGGAAGACTTTTAACCAAAGATTGATCTTCTAGGATTTACATGAGCAAGGGAGATGACAGATCATTCATGCTTAAGAGGAAATAGATCCTAGACCAAAGAAAAATGCTCAGCAGAGAGCATATACTTCATTGAACATCCCTACAACCTCCAGAACTGTGCAGGTCAAGTGCATTAGCAGCCAAGCAGACAGAAGTCAACAAGAGGCTGTGGGCTCCACAGACATAGAGGGAGATCGCATAGCAACTCCTGTTGGGATCCTGTGGGCTCCATAGACACAGAGGGAGATCACACAGCAACTCCTGTTGGGATCCTGTGGGCTCCACAGACACAGAGGGAGATCACACAGCAACTCCTGTTGGGATCCTATGGGCTCCACAGACACAGAGGGAGATCACACAGCAACTCCTGTTGGGATCCTGTGGGCTCCACGGGCATGGAGGGAGATCACCGAGCCGCTCACACTGGGATCCTGGCAGAACCACAGGTCTAAGTTTGACACTTTGGGAGATGTGCAAAGACTTTTGGGAAGAAGCAGAAGCTGGCCAAGGTCTCAGAATTTCAGCCCACATTTAATCAACTCAGAACCCAAGTGCAGTATAGTAATGAGCTGCATAACAGTTGTTGGCTCTGAAATGGAAGGCGGAGTCCAGATGTCAGAATTACATATGCTCAGAATTCCAGAGAAGAAGAGAAACACTGAGAGTAACATCCACCATTTTTCCAAATCAGATAGAGAATCAACCTACAGATTCAAGATTACCAAATACAATTTTACATACCAAGTGATGACACCTATGCAAATCACAGTAAACATGCTGAAAATAAAATATAAACAGATACTCTCCGAGGTGGCCTGAAATGAAAGTACAAAACTGGCAGAAAAACACCAGATATAATGAAAGATGACAAGGAATTAATACCTTTAAAAAGCTGAGAGAAAATAATTTTCAATTTCTACTTATATACCAAGTAAAATGCCCCTGCAAATATGTATATTAAAAGAACAAGAACAAAAACACAAAATTGAGACACACAAGAAAGAGTAACTGCCAGCAAGGACACATGGGAAGTTGTTTAGGTTTAGTTGTGTGCCCTAATGACAACTCCCAACTGAAGGATCTCCAAGAACAAGCAAAGTTGCCACTGGGACCTTTTCGCTTCCTTCAGGGGCGGATTGAATGGGTCAACAGTGTGTGTGTGCTGAGAAACCATGCACCGTGTCTGAGGCACTACCAGCACACATTCCTATCGATGTGACATAATGTGTTGTATATTTCACTAAGATGTGGCAGTCCAGCATAAACCATTTATTGGGAAATCACGAGGCAGTAAAGAAAATGTCTATGGCTTGTTTATAACTATTTTTAATACACAACTATTTTAATGTATAACTGTTTAATAGTCCATTCACTATAAACTTTAAACTCTGCATATAGATGGTTATGGATGTGCTAACAAATTTTTAAATGACCATGTTTTTTAATAAGTCAGATTTGCTAGGTTGATTCTCACGTTACATTACTAACGGCATTAATATGCTACAGACACTGCTGACTTGTTTTCACATTACTGAATGATCAACAAATTACTAACAAAAATTCATCAAAGGGATGATTTATTAATTTGTTAAGTCATGCTTTCCTACAGTAGAAGTGAAAATCTAGATCTAAAAAACAGCCCAAAATAAAATGAATTTTCATTAACTTTTGCAATCTTCAAACATCATTCATCTAATTACCTTTTAAGAATCTTACATCTTCTCTATTTTCATTACAAAATTGTCTTTAGCCCACTGATTCTGGTGTCCACACACACGGGTGCAATGGGACAAAAGACTGTCCCCCTGATCCGGCCAGCGTGCTCATGGTCGGAAGCGTCACGCTAATGGTGGCATGCAAAGGAGAGACACACTCTTTGGCCCCTCTCCGCTTCCCGAGCTGCTGATGCGTTCTGCCCCGACTTCCAGACCTGCTTTACGGGGGGATGATCCTCATGGCCGTGACCTCCTCAGTCAGATTTCTATGTCTAGGGGCTGAAAGGAGGTCCTACCTGATAGAGCTAGGTCAGATGCTAAACACAGGAATTCATATCAAATAAATACAGCCCCCATGAAGTAAAGATTTTTTTTCTTTTCAATTTAGAAACACAAGGGAGACAAAAATTAGAAGCTACTCATACAAGACATGGTGAATTACTTGCAGAATATGGTTGTCAGTCACTGAACTCCTAAGATGTTACTTTGTTAAACACGGAATGTCATGAAAAAAATCCTTGAATGCGTATTCTTAAAAATCCTCTATCCTCAGAATGTATACAGTGTGGTGACTATGTCGTGCATTCAACATGTGCAGTTTCTCTAAGCTTTTAGGAAAGCCATATCTGACCAAAGACGCATCACACATCCAGTAAGTGATAAAACACAAAACGTTACTTTGAGAGAAAATAAACTTTGGCATTGATAATTCCTTGAGAACGCTCACTGTGTCAGAGGTCGTGCTGTGGACGTTTATTTTCTTACCTGTGTTCGAGCCCGCATCTCTACCTTTAGGAAGACTTCCCAACGAGAGTTTGAAGGGCAGTTGTGTAAGCTTGCTCCTGGAAAACAAACAAAAGAGGAGGGCAAATGGTGCTTCACAAGGACCCCGATAGGAAACTAGACGGAATAAGGAATGCGTGTTTTTGGAAATCTTACATGAAGTATTTCTGCCAGTTTCATTATCTCTCATTTTTTCAAAGATTTGTTTATTTGAAACACAGAGCTACACACATGCGAACACATGCACACGCAGAGAAAAAGAGAGAGAGAGAAATCAGTCCTACCAACTAGCTCACTTCCCAAATGGCCACAACAGGTAGGGATGCTCCAGGTTGAAGCCAGGAGCCAGAAGACTCCTCTGGGTCTCCTACCAGGGTGTAGGGGTCCAACCACCCTCTGTCGGATTTCCAGGCACATTGGTGGGGAGCTGGATGGAAAGTGAAGCAGCCGGGCATCAAGTAGCACCAAATGGGCTGCCAGTCCACAAGCAAGTGACTACAACTCAGCGCTGGCCCTTCGTCTCTCTCATGTTGCCCCCAAGTCAGATTCCCGTGCCAGTTCACAGAATGAGGAATGAGCAGCATTCTATAGCCTGCAGCATGCCTTGTCTGAGTACATGGAGGCAGAACATGAAATACTCTCAGGAGACTCTACACTGAAAACTTAGGATACAAGCAATACACTTGGGTTACAGTCATTTTTTAAAGGATTTGTTTTGGAAGAGATTAAGAAGGGGGAGGAAAGAAAAAGATGTTTCATCTCTAACCTCACATCCTACATGACCACGATGCTAACGCTGGGCAAGGCCAAAGCTAGGAACTTCATCAGGGCCTCCCACAAGGCAGGCAGAGCTCCAAACACTCATGCTATCATTGACTGCTTTTCCTAGGCCATTATTAGGGAGAGATGGATCGGAAGCAGAGCGGCCAGGACTTGAACCAGCAGCCACATGGGTTACACTGTGTCATGTAGCAGCCTCACCAGCAGCACAACAACACCAGCCCGAATTTCAGTGCATACTTATGCCATTCTTACTAAAATTCAAAATTTTTGAAGCAGCTTATACCTAATGACCCCAAACAATAAAGATTACAGGTATTCTGATAGGCTATTTAAAATCTAAATTGACATGTGTCCAGTTCTTTTTGTAGACTGTCAATTATTTGAAAATACTGGTTTGAAGTAATTTTGCTAACTTATCTTCTTAATAAAGAAAAGTCAGAACTCCAGTTGACATTAGTCTAATTCGTTAGTTTTAAATTCTCCAAGGAATAGAAAGCTGCCTTACTACCTTTTAGTATAATAGGATAATGTAGGATTTTCACTGATGTTGCAAATGCTATCAAATGTAGGTAAAATAGAGGCCAATAATAAGGTACAAATACATCAATTTTCACTTAGTATATAATTGCATAAATGTACACTACAGAGGGAAAACATCAATTTCCTGTGCTTAATTAGCAGATGTAGCAATGTATTATGCATTACAGTCATATTGGTATTTTCTTTACTAATATGTATTTAGACGGTAAAATTTAACATTTAATGTGGAGCCTCACTGAATTTATATGACTGCCTTTCATTAGAGGTTTCCTTCCTAATATGCAGAGGTAGGAGCGCACTGCTTGCAACTTCCGATAAGCTGTGACAGGTCTGGCCTGACTAGTCACAAATCCTCCCCATGCCACATTCACCAGGCACTGTGCAGTAAACTTTACAACAGCTGCTTGAGAAATCCATTTATGAAAGTATGCTGTAAGTTAAATCATAGTACTACTTAGAATCCTAGAAATATATATATTATCCTGTGGCCTGGTTCACTTTTAAATCCTCTTAAAATGCTTAGGTAACCCCTCTACAAGGTGAGATCATTCATATTAAGCTTATGTTAGCATTTAAAAATTGGAAACACGTGAAATGCACAACCTCTGTCAGAGCTGTAATGTCAGCCCAGCATTGTGAAGATTCCTGTCAGTCATTCTCAAGTTGCATTCAGACAGCGTTCACAAGGATGGCACAGTGGCACAGTAGGCTGAATGATGCCTGCATCTCCTACGATTGTTCTGGCTCTAGTCCCTGCTTTTCTGCTCCAGCTCTATCTCCCTGCTAATGTAGAAAAGCAACATATGGTGGCCCACGAACTTGGACCCTTCCTACCTACATCAAAGACACAGATGGAGTTTCTCGTTCCTGATGTGGGCCTGAACTAGCTCTGGCTGTTGAAGGCATCTGAGGATGGAAGTGTGCTTGCTCACTCACTCTCTCTGTCATCCCACCTTTCAAGAAAACAAATAAATCTTTAGAAATTTGTGGGGTGCCATGACACATGCATAAATTGTGTAGTGTCTAATCAAAGCACACACACACACACACATCCCTTCCAACAGTTAGCATTTCCTTATGGTAAAAATATACAAAATGCAAAATGTTCTCTTTTAGGTTTTTAAGTACAGAAATACACAGTATGTTATCACTATCTACAGTCACCCAACTGTGAGACGGAATTCCAGAACGCCTTACTCCTAAGCTGGCCATAACTTAGTAACAATTATATCCTCAAATTTTAAATGAACTGAAGATATTCATTTAAAAAGAAGCTGTAATGTAGGCAATGACTACTGGTTACACCTACTTAGGTCATAGCTCAGATGGCTTTAACAAATACAGTTACACTGTTCATTGTAAATAGTGGGACCTCTTAGGGAAATACCATGTATCTCTCTTGGTAACATTCCATTTGTGGGCAGTAAAATGCATGTAATGGTGCAAATTAAGCATAGGGTAAGTGACTAGATCGTATTAATGGGGGAACACTGGAAGATCAATAGCACAAAGAGGAAGAAGGGATTTTTAACTGGCAAGTTGTGAGTGGTAGTGAAGGACTCTGCACGAGGAAATGTGAGCATATTCAGATGTGAAAAAAAGACTGATCAGACACATTCCATGATCATTTACTCTTCTGTCAATCATAGAAATTAATGTGACAAATACTGCTAGAAGCAAGCAATAAAATTATCCACTTTGGGAGGTTGGAGCTGAGACATTAAACACATTACACAACTCCATCATTGATTTCATTCATTTTTTGTTTACATTTAGAGACCAATCAGTAATACTTGCTTAGGTAGAAAAATGTATGGCATTTTTGTTAGGTCTACTTCTAGACTGACATTTCTATAGGTTGAGTCAGAAAAAAAATGTTTATTTCCTCCTGCTTTCTGAAGATAAACAGAAGTTTGGATAACTTCAATATTTTTTCATAATAATGGGTAGAAAACAAGACTCTTCTAGAGTGAAGATATTTACAAGATTTCCGATAAGTACGACATGGTGTGAGTGCAGTAAACTCAGAAATGTCCCCTCCGTGTCCACACAAATGCTTACTATTTTTGGCCAACAAACTTAAGATCCATCTTCACCAATATTTAGTGATATTAGATTCTCTGTATGTTCCCAGGACTGTGCCCATCCTCTTCAGGATGAGGATGTGTGTTGTCAGCAGAGCAGGGTTTGATGTTTATATTCAACAAAATCAGGGATTAGGTTAGCTTGAGCATCTGTATCCTAGGAAAAGGCTAATGTTCTCCAAAGGCAATGGAAGTAAGCATTTAACGAATAAGGAAAGTCAAGCTATCAGATGTTCCAACACAGACATTCACTGACCCATGAGATTATACATATTAACGGGGCTCCATGAGACACTTGTAGGCACACACTGTGCAATGTCCAGTCATGACAGACATACCTATCTCCTCAAACATCTAGCATTTCTTGATGATGAAAACATTCAAAATCTTCCCTTTTTCTTTTTCCAGAAGCACACTGTACGTTTGCCATGACCTGCAGTGCCTCTACTGTGTGACAGAATACCGGGATTTCCTACTCTCATCTGCTTTGTGTGGATGAACTATTCTTTCACGTTGCATGTCAGACTCCGTATCTGTGGTGTTCTGAAGTAAAGGCCACTCTGATTAGTTTCATTAAATGATTTCCGGAGCCGTCTTCCCACCCATGTTGCTGGTCGGTAGTCCCGTCTAAAGTCTGGAAGGGTGCTTGACCTCTTTGTTCTTGGGAATAAAGTACATGTGATGAAGAACACTGTGTTACCTGCCAGCCCCTGTTGGCCAAATGGGGGCCCGGGGATGGTCAAGTCCACACTGAGTCGATCCTGGACTTCCATGGCTCTGTGCAGGACAGAACTGCACTAACCAAGATCTTCCCTATCTTGTCCCAGGTTAGAGTTTGCCAAAGGGAGGATACGCCAGTTATCTGAAAGTGTCCTCATAGCTGGGTGGAAGGTGAGAGGTCACTGTGACACCCCAGTGAAAACCCTCCAGCTCACAGCCACTGACTCCCGAGACCTGCCTCTCCCTGTTAGTGTCAGGCACATACCTGGCACGCGGCATCGGCTCGACTTTGGAGAGCAGTTTCTTCAGGCCTATACATTATGGAATATGTTCTGGACAGATTAAACCTTTATTTCCCAAAGATTTACAGCAATCTCTGCTCTGCCTTATTTTTACAAATCATGAAGAAATATGCGCACACTAAGCTCTTGTCGTGTTATTTTAATTGTAAATTTATTTGGAGAGACAGGAGAGAGAGTATGAATCTCTCGGTTATTTGCTGTTTTAATCCTCAAATGCCCGCAACAGCTAGGGCTGGGCCAGGTCACAGCGGGGAGCCAGCATGCCAACTCAAGTGTGCCAGGGACCCAGAGGCTTCCAATACACCTGCTGGCTCCCAAGAAGCAGGAATAGGACGAGGAGCTGGGTCTCCCACCCACACGCGCTGATCCAGCACGGGGAGTACTGACTGCCAAGCAAAGTCCAGTCCGCCACCCCCTCAGATTTTAGAGGCATCTTCTGCCAGTACTAGCTTTGGTCTAATTGATTAACACCACAGTATTCTTTTTTTAAATTGAAATCAGATTTGAAAGCAAATGGACATGATTTCATAATATTCATCACAGTTTTCTTTAGGTGGGCCATCCTTCCAATTTTAAGTATTCGGAAATAAATGTTTTTTCAGTATTTTTTCAAGTAAGCTTGCTGAAATC